TTCTGCTGTGCATAAGGTTGCTATGGGTCAGTACCAACTCGATGGCACCTAAAAACAACAACAACAACAAAAATGGGCAAATATTGAATCAAAAGAACAAGGAAGGAATACACAGAGTTACCGTACCAGAAAGAACTGGTGAATACTCAACTATTTCAAGAGGTAGCATATGACCAAGAGCCAACGATACTGTACAAAGAAGTCCAAGATGCACTGACAACGTTGACAAAGAACAAGTCTCCAGGAATTGATAGAATACAAATTGAAATCTTTAAACAAATTGATGAAATACTGAAGGCACTCTCTCATCTATGACAAGAAATTTGGAAGACAACTATCTGGCCAACTGACGGAAAGAGATCCATATTTGTGCCCAATCCAAAGAGAGGTGACCCGACAGAATGCAATATCATTGGACAATATTAATATTGTTGAATGCAAGTAAAATTTTGCTAAAGAGAATTTTTAAATGGCTGCAACAGTACATTGCAGGGAGCAGCCAGAGGATCAGGCCGGATTCAAACGAAGATGTGAAATGAGGACTATCATTGCTGAGATCGGATGGATTTTGGCTGAAAGCAGAGACTACCAGAAAGATGTTTACCTATACTTACTGACTACGTAAAGGCTTTTGATTGTGTGGATCCTGACAAGCTATGGACAACATTGTGGAAAATAAATATTCCAGAACACTTAGCTATGCTCATGAGGAACCTGTACATAGACCAAGAGGAAGTTGTTCGAACAGAACAAGGGAGCACCAAATGATTTAAAATTAGGAAAGGTGTGCATCAGAGTTGTATTATTTCACCATATTTATGCTGATTAATCAGTACAGTCCTTGTGTGGCGATGCGGGCTAATGTGTCAGACTTCACAGCCATTTGAACTGCATGGTTGGTGGTTCAAGCTCACCAGCTGTTCCTTGGAAACCCTATATATGGTCACTATGGGTTGGAATTGACTCGATGTCACACAACAACAACAATTCAATCTGTTTGCTAAG